TAATATCAAAAAGATACTTCAGACAATTTGAGTTGATTTCTTACACTTGTAACCAAGATTCCTGACAAGTAGATTTGTAAAAGTATGCCAAGACCTTTATGTACAAGAATGCTCACGTGAGTATTGCCCATAATAATAAAAGATTGGAAACAAATTAAATGTTCACCAACTGTAAACTGTTAACATAAATCATTGTACTTTGATACAATGGAACACTATGAAACCATTACAAATAACGAAACAGGTATATATGGGTTTATATGGAAATATCACCACGACATATTAAGGGAAAAGGGTAACTTTATGACAGCAAGTGGAATACAATCCCAACAATATAAATTTTTCAAGAGATATGTGACATTGTAATAACAGGTTATTCTGGGGAATAGGAACTGAGGGCCAGGAGGGGAGAGACACTTAGACTTTTTATCTGATATTTCTTTGTACTGTTTGAAATTTTTCCTGTACCTATTTGTTCCATTTACATTTTAAAATTAGAAAGCAAGTAAGTGTGTCTGAATACTAGCCCAACCAGTGGTTAAAAACTCAACTTGCTAGAAACCTAAATGACAAAACAAATGATCACAGATCACTAAATCAAGATTTCTTAAGGAAGTAAAGAATCAAACTAAAGAGCTCCTGACGTTTAAAATGAGTAATTTTTCATCACAAGTGGCTATAATGCCAGAAAAATGTGGTGTGGGGTGATGCATTGAGTAGATACCCTAGACAGTGACAATAAAGCGACACACTTGCATCTAAAATGTTTTCAAACCTCTTTTAAAGGCAAGGTATTATGTAAGTATTTTGAAGATATACTATCTCTTTTTTTTATTTTTTATTTACTTATTTGACAGAGAGAGAGAGAGAGCACAAGCAGGGAGGAGCGGGAGAAACAGGCTCCCTGTAAAGGCTAACAATGTATCAAAATTTTATATTAACTATATAAACTACAAAGATTATTTCTTTGTATTTTCAAATCTTTGCTGAAAGTAATCATATAATAGATAAAATAATTCTAAAATAACTTAAATTCATAGTAACTATTTGGACATTCAATTTCTCAAAATTCTGACTTTGCTCATGATTTATGATGATAAAAAAATGAAAATATTCAGTCATGATTTACTTTCCTTCTTTATGACTTTAGGGACATAAAGGAGAATTAGAATAATTACATTTTATAAAACAATTGGTGATCATATCTCAGCACTTGTGTTTATAACATTTATTAATGTACCAATTGTGGCTAAAGAGAAAGTGTTCACCGCATGCCAAGTACTTAATGACAAGTGTTAAAAGTACAGTATCTGCAATCTAGGTATTTCACTACAAAATTAGATAATTTTCCAAATTCTTTCTCAGTTCTAGGGTTTTCGAATGAACGTTATTTAAAATATCCCGTCAAAGATCCTCACAAAATTGAATTTAATGCGAAACATCCTAAGTATAATTTTGAAAAGTAGATATCTTCAGCAGCTTTCCAAAATAAATATTGAGTGATAAACTTTGTATAAAAATAATTTGTTCAATATAAGAACCCATGAAAACAATTTCTTGATGCTTATACAAATACATGGGATAATATCTCAGTTCTAATCCAGACCTTTGAATTCTCAACTGCTCCCCCCACATTGTGATTCAGTGAGGGAGTGCTTTACCATTTTAAATTAGTTGTTCACGAAAAAATAAAACTAGTGACTTCTCTAGTTTCCTTTTGTAAATGTTTCTTCATTTTTTTTTTTTTCTGGTAACTGTGTTTACATTTTTTCCCCCTCAAATGCAGCTTCTTTTCATCATAGTGGAGTGGACCATTTTAATTTTGTGTTTTAAATTTGAGAACGTGTTTTCTCAATAATAAATAGTTTGGAAAAGTCTGTAACTGTCAAGATGACCCTTAAAAGTGGAACAAATGTCTTTTAAAAAGTAACGGAAAGAATTTGGAAAGAGGTCTCTTTCCGAAATCCACGTCTAGGTGACATATGGCTGCAACATGTCCTGATCCATTCAGCATGTTGTCCAACTCCAGGTGAGCCCCATAGGCACAGCTCTTATGGCCTAGCCTGGATCCTGAGCCAACCAAAGTAGCTTCGGAATCTGGTATCAATTTGCGGAGGAAGTTTATCTCCTCTTAGCTTTTGAGTCGTCGAGATGAATATTCCTAAGGGAATGTGACCATATGTTTGATATTTGGAAAGAGGGAGTTGGCTTTATTGGAAAGGGATGAGAGAAGGTAGCAGCTCATGGCATCATCAAACCTTATTCTAGGTCCAGGATCACCCTCTGGTTTGCAAATTTAATCCAAGTCTTCTTACTACTTGAGACTAGGTTTAAAAATAGAAGAGTATCTGCTCCCATTCTTCTTGTCCATATGTAGCTCATCCCCAAACGCGAATACAGGGCTCCAACAGGGGGCCTCTGCTGTTACTGATAAGCACATCTTGACTTGTTTTCTTCATCTTTGTTCTTGGGGGTTTAACCTAGGAAACATATCATTTCATTAACCCTGACAAATGATTTACCTTCAGACAATCTGTTGAAACTTGCAGCCCTAGCTCAAATTAGTAACTTCTGAGTTTCTTTTCATTAAGTTCAGATTTAGAGAGACTGATTAGTAACTTGTATTTGAATTCAAGGCCTTCAATGAAATACTCAAAATTCCAGATTTATCCTAAGTTAAAAGTCCAAACCCATATTTCAGCTCTTCTATCCCTTAACATTTTTTTAAAGAATCTTTGGGAAGAAATGGAGAATACCTGACCCTCCTAAAGTATAAAAATTCTAAATTTTACCTAAATTTTTTATGAAAACACACTATTTAATGACAGATAATTTTCATAAAGACCCAATAATATATAGTAATACATATAGTGAAACAAACTTTCAAAAGTGAAAATCAGAGCCCTAACACACAGACCATAGAAAAGAACTAAATCTATATATACCAATAGGCCAGGCTGTACCACTTTAGCCCTCTCTGTGAAAGAAACTCCCTTGGCATAGCAATATTTGAGATGTTTTCACTTGTTTTTAGGAACTGAAGCTGCGCCAGGATGATATTCATGATCTTAAGTTAATGTGCTGTGACTAAATTCTTTTCACACAGACCTACAGCACAACAGTTGGTCCTGGGACTTTGAATTCACTACCACGTATGCACAGCCTGAAACCTTGGGCTGATTGGGACATCTATCAGTTTCTCTTCCCCACAGTTATGGGTCTCAGATCACAAGAAATTGTTGTGTCTCAGGGGACATGCTCAGTGTTTAATCTCTAACCATGTGCAGAGTGGAGCAAAATGTAATTTTTCTGTCTCTCCTATACTGTACTCTCAATTAAATGTCTATATTCTAGGGCGCCTAGGTGGCTCAGTTGTTAAGCATCTACCTTCAGCTCAGGTCATGAGCCCAGGGTCCTGGGATCGAGTCCCACATCGGGCTCCCTGCTCAGCGGGAAGCCTGCTTCTCCCTCTCCCACTCCTCCTGCTTGTGTTCCCTCTCTCGCTGTCTCTCTGTTGAAAAATAAACAAAATCTTAAAAAAAAAACCTCCTTTTAAAAAATAAATAAATAAATAAATACATGTCTATATTCTATGAGCAGCGTTCAAAATAATGGTCAATTTTACCAGAACTTCCATACATGCAATAATTTCCTTCTGTTTCTGAATCTGTAAACCACTTAAAACATCAGTGAAGAAAAAATATTCTCTCGATTTATCTTTGTATGGAACTAAGGCTTTCATTCCACACTAATTATTCAGTGAGTTGATATGAGCCCTCTACCTTTCTCTGGTGAGAGTCATCAGCTGAGCATGTGAGATCCTGAGCTGGTTCCACGATGCTTATGGTAGGAAACAGCTTTATTGCTTTCTAATTGGCAAATGATCATGAAGTGTAAAAAAATACCTGTTGGTTGGGGTCTGAGATCTTTGTCATTGTCTAGAAATGCTCATTTCATAGGGCCTCAACTAGCATAGAGATGGAGAGCAGGATTTTCTTTAGGGTAACAGTAAAATCAGCAGGATTCTCTCTCAGTATAAGTATGAAACTGGTGATGTTTAGCAACCCAATAGGCATATTTTTGAGGACTGAAGTATTTGTTTCGATTATACCAATCATCTTGAAATTCTTAATTATTGCCATTCAACATCTATCTCTGCAGGTTTCTTAATTTAGTTTGTTGCTCAATATGCTGTCTTTGAGTTTTGTTGCCATACCAGAAACCGAAACCAACAATAAATATTAAAGTCTTTAAGGGCAAAAACAACATCTGTGTAATTCTCAATTTTCATCCAGCATTGTATTTCCACTTAATATTTTATTTAATTACAACTCATTTTTTTTTAATGAATAGCAATTTAAGGTATAGGTTTCAAACATAATCACTAGCATTAAAAGATCTGGGTTTAAGTCTGAATCCTGGTTCCATCACCCACTAACTCTGTGACCTTGGGAAAATTACTTAATCTTCTAATCTCTAAAACGGGTGTTACAGGAGTACATGTCTCATATAATTAATTTAATAATTAATTGAGTTAAAGTATGGAAAGATTTAATACAGTGGTTGGTTATATGAGAGAGAATGCTCAGTAAGTGAGAAAAGAAAAAATAGCATACAAGCAAATGGGAATCAGGGAAGACAGTGATTCCAGAGTGAGATAGATACAGTAACGTTTGGCAATCTAACTGTATCAGAAAGTGACCATTGTGACATCTTTTATAGAGAAGAGTTAAGACAGACATATTGTCTTCAAAAGTGCTTTTGTTGTCATCAAAGTATTGGTTGTGGGTATTGCCATTCTAATAGATAGTTTCATTCAATGGTACATATCTTAGATTTGATACATAAAGACTGGCTTACTTGTCAGTCTTCAGAAGTATATCCCCTAGGCCAGAGCTAAATCTTTTATTTCTCTGCAACATTTAGTGGAGTGCCTACCACAGAGTAAATGCTGGGGACAAGTTTGTTAAATTGCAAAATCTTAAAATCACACAGTCAAGTAGCACAAAATACAAATACATCACATTCTTTAAAAATGTACGAGGATGCCTCTTAGGTATAAATGGGTGTATGTGCAAATCAGTGGAAAACAAAGACAACTCAACGTAAAACAACCACACCCTCGAAGCAAGTTACATCTCACAAGTATCAGTTTGAAGTCTTCTTTCAAACTTAGGTGTAACTGAGAAGATTAGCTCTTTCTACATAGGTGTAATGTTCCCAAAAGATGGTATTTGTTGGGCTTGTTTCCAGCTAAAAACGAGCCATTGGAGACCTCCCCAGTGGAGCTTTTTAATGGAATCATTAGAAGAGTCAGTCTACATTGCCAGGCTCTTGAAGGCTTTCTCACATTTTTTGTCTACCTTCTGAGTGAAGACAGATACCACTGATTTGGGGACAATCATTTCCAATTTTGACGGTTTTCTTTCCTCTCCCATATCCACAACCATAGTGACATATATTACACTTCACATGATTCATTCTAACATAAATCTGAGAAGATTCTTGAATGAAATTAGACAGTTAGGTCACACATTTTGTTTTCCATTATCTTCTGAGTCTGAGTGGGACAAATCTGAAATTGAGGCATGTAAGATACAAAAGTCTTCTGACCAGAAGTTCCTAAATTGAAGTTATTTTCTACAAGGTGTGAGCAACTGTTCTGGAGGATTCTGATGTCAGTGAATAAACAGTGGGCTGGGAACGGACACAGCACTTGGGACTCGTCAGTCAAAAACACACCACTCTCTCTTTTTTTGATTGAGGTGACCCCTAAATAATAGACAGACCTTTCACCATTATTTTCTTCAGGGAAATTTCCCTCAAGTTTCAAAAGTTCATCCAATCCTTCTGAGAATGGAAGGTGTGGTGAAATTTTATCGGGATGCTGATCTGATAATATAAAAAATGCCTGGGTTTCTATCTCCCATGAGCTGTTAGAAAAAGAACCCTTTGGTAGAGAATTTTTGCTAGAGAAGCATTTGCTGACTGAGCTGTTTATAAGCCCTTGCTCTTCAACAATTTCACTTGATTTAGAGCTGCCGAGGAGGGTGGCATATCTAACAGAGGGCGGCCTCCTGCTTTCATCCTCACGGGCTATCAAGGTGCTCTCCAACTCAGAGAAGTTAGCACTGGTGTGCTGGTCACGGATACAAACAGAACTCTTTTCAAGATCCGGAGCTGTCAAAAGCAGAGAGACCATAGCTGTTGGTACCACCTCATCTTTATTCTTCCAAGATGTGTCAACACTGATATCTTCTGAAATGGTTTCAGGCTCCAAAAGAAGAGGACCAAATATCACTGATTCTGTATGCTTGATAAAAAGATGCTCAAATGTTTCTGGCTAAAAGAAAAGACACATTTTAATGCTCAATTGTATTAATTTTTTTTTTTTTTTGCTTCACTATGACATCATTGCAGAAATGAAAGTGTGAAAGGTTACTACTAAAGGACATAAGTCAACCACAAATTAACAGGGGTTTTCTTTGGACTGAAAATGGGTATGTCAAAAATCATAAGGGAGAGGCAGAAGAAGATGGTGTTTAAAAGTGGGATGAGACAAACTTTGGTTTGAGCCCTTCTATGACCATGGACAAATACATTAACTTCTTTGCCTTTTAGTCTCATCTATAAAAACGTGTTCAATATTTACTTCCTGGCATTGTGGTGAGGAATAAATTAGAGAGTGTCTGAAAGTACTTAGCTCTCAATAAAGATTGGTTATTGTAATTAAAAAGGGCTGTATTCCGAAGAATTCCTAATATTTTACAGCAAATTAGATTTCTACAAACTGAAAATTTCAACCTCAAATAAAAAAAAGGAACTGAAATAAAATCAAATGAGTAAAGCAACTAGTCCAAAGACAGTTAAAATAACTACTCCATGACATAAGATATGGTATAAGGGTAAGCTATTTGTGACTGTTAAGACTTATCTGCCTTACATCATACTGAAAATCTGTTTAAGACTACCAGAAGGGAAGAACTCATACCAGTTTGTTGAAAACAATGATGGTGAAAGACATGATCACAGACTCTTAAATTACTATTCCTTTTAAATAACTTCATCTAAAAACACATACTATGGAACATGCGGAATGAAGACAAAGACGCAAAACAAATGCACATCGTATCTTTTATAAGAATGCTGGTTACATCACAATAAAAAATCCTGCCACGCAGCTACAAATCAAGAATCTGTGTGGAAAAAGCTCAACCCATACAATGTAAACATATTGAAAAAACAAATGCAAAATAAAGAATACCGTGGACACATCACACTGAAAAATTAATGCAACTAAATGAAGTGCTACTGAAAATGTGTTCAATTCGTAAGACATACATATGGTTGAACTTTTGAACTTTACAGTTTTAAACCACTAAAATGAATTCAAATTTATTGCCTGAAATAACAATTTACTCAACTATTCTTCATAATGGCAAATATATTCCATATAAAAACATAATTCATTAGCATAGTTTTAAACTCTTAAATGAAACATATTGGTTATTATAACTATAAAAGAATAAATATACCAAACACTAAATATAATAAAAATGGAATAGACTTATATAGATATTAAAATACTGCATCATGACAAATACCATGTTAACACAACCTTTTCTGTTATTCTATGAACATAATATATGAAAACTTCCTACGCCTTTTCTCTTTCTGACAGAAATCTATCATTAGATTTATTATTTCCTTCAAATATTTACTTGCTCATTTTGCTTTTTCTTAAACTTACTACTATATGTGTCTTGAATTTCTTAGAATTTAAATGAACCTAGAAGTTAAGATCACCAAATAAAGGCATTACATGCTATCAATATGAAAACAAAAAATACACACAAATAGCCAATAGCACACAGTCAAACTCACATATGCTATTCAGATGATGTCTTTAGATATTGCATGCCCTTTAAAACTTTATAATCGGTAACTAATTGTTGATACTGATTAATGTCCATGTCTTCAAATGCATTCAGATGGAAGATTTCACTAATAATTAATAAGAAATCACATACTCATATATTATTGAAGTATATTTTATCAGTGGGTCATAAACTTTTATTAAAAGTATTTTCATTAAAAAAATCATTTCAATCATTATATGCATCTAATTTTTCAGGATTTTAGAATGGTCTGGGAACATATTAAATATGTATTCAGCTGGTAGGAAATAAAGAATATCCTTTCATAATCTCACACTTAGATTTTACATTCCAATGATACCGATTAAAAGTCAATGAAGGGGAAAAAAAGGACACATTCTTCCTCATTTTTAGTGTTGTTTTCATAGCCAAATAAAACTATGAATGAAATCTAAATGTAAGCGATCAATATATATCCTAAATTTGAAATACTATTTAGGTCCGTCAAACAGAAGCTTTGGTTTATTTTGAATGTGAACAACATAACACACTGAATATGCTGATGTCATAGAAAGAGGAAGGGTCTTTTTTCAGGAAGAAGTGTCTTGTCTTTGCCATGAACTATTTGTAAAAGCTCCCTTTTTGCATTGCTGCCTGACAGAAGCTTTGGGTGGTTCGGAGTAAATAAATTAAATTTAGGGAAGAATTTCACAAAGAGGCTGAATTGGAGGCGGATGTGTTTTCTGATCTGGTCAATCTGACCTGAAAAGTCAGGTCATCCTGATATGAACTGTAACTGCCACTGGCCTGTGACCAGCACACACCCGAACTTCTGGCTTTTCCTGAACTGAAATGGAAGTTAGTGCCTAAGCCATTTGCAAGACTACTGAGGATGGGAATTCCCAGACTGACCAAAGTTGGACAGATATAAAAACGACAAGACAGTCAAAAGAACACCCACATGGGTCCGTTTATGAGCTCAGGTGTCTACAAAAGAATACAAAATGGAAAACTTTGGACATAAAAATATAAACTAAATAGTTTCACTGTATCTTGTAAGTAGATTCATTGTGTTTGCAAAGTTATGTGTCAGAAGCTGCAGGTTTTTATCTACTTATGGCATTGCCTACTACATACCTGATGATACTGAATAGATATGTGGTAAGAACAGTCATAGTTTTTAATGCTTTATGACCACACAAATGATAAATCAAAAGCCAGATACCATGAATATTACTTTTTAAACTTTAGGTGACCTAAAACATAATCATACATTCAAACTGAATTTGACTCAGACCTATCTCTTGACCCCAAATTTACCCTTCTATTGTAAGTTCTAAATCAACATCATCCACCATATTTTAGTTCTCAATAGTTCAACCAAATATTTTTTAGATTTGTCTCCCCTTCTTCAAAATGTAAAAATCTTCTAATACTCTACAGAATGTTGGGAAGGTGGTACATTGGGTTCATCTGTAGTGATCATGATTAGACTTCAAAGAATGTCCGTTCTCTGTTTAGATAAAATAAAACAAAATAAGAAAGCAAAATAAAAAATCACTCAGAAGGCAAAAGATAAAAGATTTCAAAAACATTTTCTGTCAGGCATGGCTTCCGGACTATGAATTCTTCTGTTAGACTAGAGTAATACATCTTTTTAGGAAAGAGTAAAATTTTGAACTGAGGTTGCCTCTTCTATTTTCATAAAGCATGCCTTAACATCACACTCTAGGAACAGTCTTGGTGACCCCAGACAAGGAAAAACTATGGGAGAATAACAGAATAAAGGAGAAAAAAACAAAGAGCTGGAAAAATAAAATGGAGGAAATGGAAGCAACAGAAGTATTAGAGAGCTTGGAACAAGAAAGAGTAAAAGAGTAGAGCAGTAAAACAAAAATTTAAAAATTAAGAGAAAGAAGAGCTGAAATAGTGAAGAATACAATGACAGATCGTATCATGATGTTTCTAATCTAGAAAAAAAATCTGAGAAACCACCTGCTCCATGTGCCTCCCTTTTTTAAAACAAAGCAATTGGGGCTTAAGGTTACAGGACTAATTAGAGCAGAGTGAGGACCCTGACTTAGTTCTTTAATTTTTTCTAGTCCAAAGATCTTTCTATAAAACAATGGAAGGATGAAAAATATCCTAAATGCAAACTGGCAGGAAAACATGTTCTTAGTTTTGCTTTTTCTACTTGCTGTGATAGATTTCAGCTGACTAATACATACTCTCTTCCAGTTCTTTATAACCCACGGGCATATCATAAATGTTATGAACATGAAAATAAACAAAACCGAAGTCCTATTTTAGGGAAGTGAGATACACACCTCTAAGCCCAATAATGTGCACTTCTACAGAGAACTTCCAACTCAAAACTGCACCGGTTTTACCCACTTCTGCAAGACCATTCAAGGAATTTCAGGGGTGCTCTGCCTCAGATCTGTGAGACTGGTGTTCTGGGAACCTGAAGGTTGTTGGGCTGCTTTGGCAGACTGAGGAATCTTGGACAGTCTTTGAATCACAAGGCAAAAATCCATTTGGTTTTAACTTTCACACCCCTACAGTAGGGTAACTGGAGTATGCTCTTGTGAAAACGGACATCGATGTAGACAACCAAGAAGCGGGTTAGATCCCCCGCCATTCAAAAAAATTACAGATGATTTAGATTTAGAGGAAGAAAATAATAGATTAGGCAAAAATGCTAAAGAAAAAAGTAAAAAACCAAATTGGTGACAGTGTTTTAAGCACTGTGAAATTTGAATTAGAAGAAAAGCAAGTCTATTGCATCACTACATTTTCCTACAACAAGAATTCAGCCTTTGTTTAAGATTTTTATTTTATTTTTTATTTTTTTAAGATTGTGATTTTTAAGTATCAAGAGAAATGGTGTAGAGGGGTATTCTGGTTGAAGATGGCAGGTGAAACCGTTGCTCTCTCATCTTTGTAGATACTCTATCAGAATGAAAGTACATAAATAACAAATACATACCCATAACACAGAAGATAATCTGAGAAAGCAAGAGGGAATAAGATTTTGAATTCATTTCTAAGACATGGAAAACAACTGGAAGAGTGTAGACCAAAGAGGATTAGCAAAAGAAGCGATAGACCAAAGTACCTCCAGAGTGGGCTGTGGTTGAAGAGAAAGCCTGTTTGCCCAGTTGAATACAGCAGACCTGGCGAGTGAAGAAATGGCAGGTAAGAACGCAGGACGATTAGGAGACCTGAGGCTGAAAACCAGAAACTATGCCTGTGGAATGGGGCTCTTCCATTTCTCCGCTGTACACAGAAAATCCTTCATATTAGAACTACCTTCCACACCCAAATTGAGGTTTTGTTTTCAAAATCAACTAAGGACCTATCCAGGGAGGTACCAAGCAGCTATGGAGTATTAGTGCCTGTAAGTACATTTTTCCTCATCTAGCCAGAGCTCTATCTACCCAACCAAGAAATAATTCCTGCCTAT